CTCCGTCGCCACTCGGTGCCTGGTGTAAAGAAAACTCAATTTACTTATAAGAGTTACAATTAAAAAACAAGAATCATATGTACACACTACACAAATGGCCGAGATTCGTAATCACTAGTGCCAGATAAGCCATAAAGCAAGAGCAAATGCTACGTGCCTTGCGAATTTGGGAGCCCCGCGCACCGACGCCTGTCTTGACAGTAATCAAAAAAATATGTTAAGATAGGAGCATAAAATATCTTGCTTGCCTTAAACGCGAAGAGCTTAGCCTATGCTTCACTAACACTTGAAAATGTAAAACTCGATTTCTTCACTTTTAAGTGTGAAAATAAGTTGGTATTTAACGATTTTTTAATGTTAACATTATAATATTTAATTGACAGTTTTATTTAATACCTTAATTTCGAGAACCTAAAGTAAACCAAGGGTCCATTGACTTTGCTACATGCCTTTCACTGGCTTAATACGGCACTGATAATCACTGCGATTAAAAAATTCTTCAGTCTAGATAACCCATACTAAATCTACACTCAAGTAATTTACAGCAACACGACCCTTAACCACTTAGCAAGGTCAAAAGAAACAATGAAACAAACGTCAACTAGTGCACGTGAGTCGCCAGCCCGATAAAGCCCTCTTATAAATTATACAGACTAATTTAATTACAAGTATAACAATACTTACATGTTAGCGTACTGCTGCATATACTGCAAATACGCCTGCTGCACCATCATCATGTGATTTGCAAACATCGCAGCATCATTTGGTCCTTGTAAATATCCTTCACCAAAATTATAATTAGGGTAAGGTGGCACCCTGCCGTAATTGTTAACAAAGGAATTCCTGTAATTCTGCATTTCTACATTGTGATTCTGATCATTCTGTCTGGTCTCCGGTCTCGATGTGGTCTCGGTCTGACGTGGTTCTGTAGAGGGCGCTGTCGATGCGGTCTCCGTGGTCTTTTCGGTCTTTTCTTTAGTCATGTTGCGTGTTGGCTTACAGACTAAGTGCATAGTGTGCACAATTCCACTGTCGTAAGACCGAAGTACGTCTTTCAGTATGGAATTATCATCCAATAATTGACCTGAATAAATTATTTTCTGCTCGTCTGTTTTCTGTAAAGAATAATATTAAAATTGAGGATTTGCATACTTATTTTCACTACGTATTCTTGAAGGTCATTTTAATAATTCGTTGTGATTATGATTCAGTTCCTCTTCTATCAATCTTTATTGTATCTTGTTTTAATGACGTCATTTCTTAGTAAGATTAGAGACCATTGAAAACTTAGTGCTCTCAAAGTAAACAACAGTTTTGTATGAGTGTTTCGGCACTAACTTGAGTTTGTTCTAACTCTAATTTACAAAACAATATAGACTAATGGGTCACCGCATGGCATAAGCGTTATTCATTACCGTTCTATTGTTCCTACATACACACGTGTCTAGAGACTGCGTAAGATGTTTCGAACGAAATAAAACAATATAATTTAAATACAACTTGTGTATACTAAACTCATTAAAACTACTTTTGCCAGCAGTTGAATTAAACAAAATGCCTTGTAAATAGGTTTCTAATCAGAAGAGATTTTCTTAAATTGGTCCATTAGTTTATTTGTTACATACAAAAATGAATATCTTTCCCTTTATAATATTAGCATAGATTTGGTTTATATGGTTAATACCAAATAACACAATATTTAGTAAATTAAATTAATATACACCCAATTACATTATGAAAATGTGTATTTTTTTAAAACAATTTAAAAACTAAAAAACTGTCACTATTACCTTATTCAACGTAATACACCACTACACTAACAAGTTTAAACATTGTTTCATTTGGAATGTTTGAAAAAGGATGATATTATAAATTGTTTATAAAATTCTGATATCATGTTTTGTCTACGAAATATACACAGGTGTGTATTAAACCATACATCCTTCCTTTCACTAGTTAAGTGTACAAAAATGTTATGACAAAAAAAAGCTAATCCAATTTTTATCTATACTAATATAATAAAGTGTAAACACACACTTTGTTGCCTAAGATGTCAGCAATTACAGCATATTTTCGAATAATACTCTTTTTAACAAAAAGCCCTACACTTACAACACGCCTTAGGCTATATACTATCACGCCGTTAAACTTAGGGGTAAATATTTTGGATAAAAACCCTAATGTGGGAAAGAGACCATAAGTTGTTGCCAACATCAAGGAAGCAAGATTGCCATGGTTTGACATAATGTCATATCATTTTGACATTTGCAATTGATAATTTGACAAATGTGAATAATAAAACGAAATTTTTAAAATTCTACGCGGATGAAGCCGCACGGGAACAGCTATATTATATATTATATGGATTGAAATACTGAGTAACATAGGCTATTTGTTGTACACAAAACGTGGGTAAGCAGAGATTCCAAATTACCATTTGGCAATGTACTGTTGTACTTTTTACCTCCATATTCATCTCAGCATGTAACTTATAAGTTAAACTTACTTATATCTAGATATGGGAAAGGGAGATAGATTTGACAGAGGAGGAGACACATAGGAAGGTGACAAATCTTCTATCTCAATTAATGGCAATGGTAATTGATTTTGGCGAATTTAAGTAGCTGCTTGCTCATTATTCCCTTTTACTTAAGAATCCAAGAAGTTTTTTTTTCGTGTTTAAGGCATTTCAGTGGAAGAGAAACTCAAAAATATTGAAAAAAAAAATGGTTCTTTAGCTCACATTTTTAATTTGGACAGATAACTGATAATTTTTTATTAATCTGAAGAAAAAATGACTACCATTAAGAGTTTTTTTTTTTTTAGAGGAAGTTTAAGAGTAGCCCCAGTGGTTGAGAAAATAAGGAGTAAAAGGTTAGTGGTATGGGCATGTTATGAGAAGAGGTGAATCGCATGTAACAAGACAGACATTAGTTATAAATGTGCAGGGGTACACCGGTAGAGGTCGACCTAGAAGGATGGATGGATTGTGAAAGGTGACATGATCAAGAAAGGAATAATGACTGAGATGTCAGATGATAGAGTGCTTTGGAGGATGAAAACCCGGTGCGCCGACCCTACGGGAGTAGGATAAGGTAGGGGAGATGATGATTAAGAGTTGTTTTTTTAAAATATAAAGTTGCATTTTCAACTTTGAAGAAATCTTAAAATTGCGATTACTCATAAATTGGTTAACTTTTGTATAATGTGTATAGAGGGTCAAAATGTTTACTAATGAACCCTTCTATCACCATTAGCTGGAATATGTTGAATTATCAATAACCCTGAAAAGCGATCGAGTTTAAACACTACATTGATATCAATTCATTATATTTAAACTTCTATAACAAGGTCGTAAAAATATAGTTAAATGGCATACCTTTTATATCAATATGCACAGGTTTTGATAAGAAATATGAGTTTGTTTGAACAACATTCACTTGTTCAGTATTGTTTCATTGTAATATATTGTAAATACTGTTCATAGAAAGAACTTCAATGTGGGTAATGAACAGTTACTTTGAATATTTTTTTCGACTTCTCTGCGTGAATTTGAAAAATAATAAATGTAGCCTATGTTACAGATAAATTACCTTTCTAATAGTGAAAGAATTTTTAAAATTGGCCCAGTAGTTATTGAGTACATACAAAAATACCAATCTTTCCTCTTTATAGTATTAGTATAGAAGAATAGATATAGAAGTAGAAATATGCAAAAGTTTAGATGGATGTATTCTTAGGTTTCTCTGTAAAGGCTCAATATTTCATTGATACAGTTAGTTTTAATTGCCAAAAATAATACATTACTTGTAGCTAAAACTGATCATTTTTAGAATTCAAGATATGCACATAGATTTTATCTCCAAGATAATTATTTGCAGATAGTAAGTAAATTACGGATTGTGTGAAAGAGGATATGCTTACCAAGAGAGTGAATTCAGATATGACAGCTGATGAAATGTATGAAAGAGCAGCACATAGTTGGTTTTACACTCTGTAGGGACAAGGTCAAGGTGATAATGAAGATGTATATGATAACATACATGGGAAGGCTGCTAGGGATTAGTACATTTACTCTTTAGATTAGTTTAAAAATATATGATGAAGATATAAGATCAACTTAGCAGATAGGGTTTTGTCTATTTTTATTTTTTTTATTTTTTATTTGCTTATTTATGTCTACTTTAGATGGGCATAATATAAGACGACTTACTTTTTTTTTATAAAACAATTATCGCTTCCGACAAAAAAGAGTAGGATTTTAGTAGTATTATTAATTATTGTTGGCCTGTAGTGGAGAGATAAGAAAAATAAGACGTAAAAACACAGCAACATTGATATAAATAATGAAAAATCATTTGAAATCATAACTTACTGGTTTACTAGGATAAACTTCCGATAAATGCCCTTTTAATTGCTTCACTGTCCACGATGTTTGGCATTCTATATTCTGGTCTTCTATTTGTTGGTTCGGTGCCTTCACAATCAGTGTCACGTTATCCGATAACATTTTAAGCGAATTTAATGTTAGATAATACTTTACAAATAACACTGTCGAATTATTTTATTTCGGCGTATTAATAGCACTTTGAGTTAATTTACACGCGAATACAGTATAATACTGAGTCTGACGCAATTCCTAACAGTTGATTTAGCCAATTTTAAAAGTATGAGTTCAATCAACAAAACGAATTGGATTAAAATACGTAAATAAATACTTCGTAAAATAATATGAGGTAAAGAGTACTCGTACTTGTCAATTTGCCTCATATATTATTTGTCGACTATTCATTGGTCCAGCTACGACGGAGATGGTACCAAATTTTTTGCTGTCAAAAGTTTTACGCGCTTTCATTGGTGAAAATAAATTTTTGTGATATTAAAACAATTTCATTGGTTAGAAAAAGAACTTCAATAAGAAATTGTTTGATAGTTAATTATTTTATATTGAATGCGGAGTTTAGTGAGTAACATTATACAAAATAGCCGAAATGTTCCATAACTTCAACATTTTTTAAAATCCCTTTCAAAGAAAAGAAAATTTTAACAAGTGGCAGCACTTTATTGCCAGCTGTCATCTTTGACTCCCTGTCAACTGTCATTTATCTTTGTCCCGGATCCCGGTTGTTTTTGGATGTTTGGTATTGGTATACTTAAGCGTTTTATTTCTTTTTTATCAATGAAATAAATGTTTACAGTTGTTTCAACATATTTTTAAAACACGAGGCATAACCACGAACACATGCAAAGTTAAAAATGGGAGTTACAGTGTAAGTTCCGTGTTTGCTTGCTTAATATTTTCATGTGTAACTTGCAATTAAAATTAAATGTATTAGTTTGCAGCAATATCCAGTGCCGGAGAACAAAACCGGTACATATGTTATTGAGCTACTTACGAAACGGATTCTAGCATTGGGTGCATCACAACAAGGACAATTTTTGGTGGATTGTGAAAGTTACTTGTCTCATCCTCAGATGGGTAAGTATCCTTTTAGAGACTTTTTAAATGTGCCAATATACAATCCCATGGTTTTAATCTACAATCTGTGTATCTGCTGCTCGTTATCCCCTTCACTTAAAAAAAACAATACTTTGCAATCTGGACCATTTACAGATTTGTCAGTTTTAAACATAAAGTTGTCTAAAAAAAAGACAGTTTTCCCTATTTACTCAATTTTAGATTGTTTTTTAATATTCAATTCATGAACCTAAATGACATATTAGTTCTTATTTAATAAATAATTTAGAAATCACATTTCATTGTACATAACACAATATTGTAAAATTTCCAGGAACAACGAAAACAGTTCACATACTCCACAACTCGGAACAACCTGCTTCAGTTTTCTCCATCTTAGAAAGTGGTACAAAAAACATACATGTGATAGCAGATGGCTTATTTGATTTGCTAATGATGAAATTATCTCAACACTACACATCGAAAAAGCAGACGAAAATAGAGAGCAAAGGTCCTAGATTTGAACTGGAAGACTTCTGTGTAAAACTCGGCTCTGTAACAATGAATCAGAATTTTAAGGGTATATTAATTGAGGTAAATATTTTGTTTTTAGATTACTTCTATAGGTCATGGGTTCAAATTCTGTTATGTACCAATGTGATTTCAGAATTTTTATCATATAAATATTATAAATGTGAAAGTTACAATGGATGGATGCTTGTTAGTGTTTGTAGCCTAAAGGATGACCGGATCTCAATGAAATTTGGCACAGGTTTAGACCATAGTCTGGAAGAATACATAGGCTACTTTTTATCCCGGGAATTGTTAGGGTTCCAGTGGGATTCATTAATTTAGTTTTTTAATGTCTGATGCGATGATTGAAAACATTGTGATGCAATCTGCATATAGGGATCACTGGGGACATGTAACCTAATGATAATGATTAGATCACTAGCTTTCTCTCATGACTCCATCCCCATAAAATAAAAGAAATAAAAGTTATTAGCCAGTGTTTTTCCACACTATCCAATTTTTGTATGCTATATTTCTTTTTTACAATACATTATGCACTTTAGACTACAATGTGTAACATTCATCCATCCATCCATTTTATTGACCTTCAACTTTTTCATTAACTTCAGTAAGATAAGATACTAGTCACTACTAGATACTACTACTAGTCAGTGACTTCTGTGTGGAATTAAACTTATAAGGATATTGCTTTGTAACTCTAAACTTCACATGTTTGTAAAATTCCGGCTGCGATTGTTTGTCAAAGTGGAAGTTCACAGTTGAAATAAATAATTGTTCATTCCAGGTGGAATATAGACCATGTGTGATGGCGAATGCAGTCTGGGGCTTGCTGCGTGAGTTTCTCCAAGGTCTGCTCGGACCCACAGTACCAGTACAGCCTCCGCAACACTTGATGAGCAGGATGAACGAAATATACACACCTATTGATACTATCTATCAATATTTAGAACATTTTAGTGCATACAGAAAGGTTACTGGGATGAGAAATAATTAAAAGTTAAAAGTAAAAGATATTGAGAATAAGCAATAGTGATTTGTGAGAAATATGTAATTTTTACCTAAAAATAAGGTCTTTTTATATAAAAGTGGAGTTTTATTCAGTGTTTTAGCAGAGTTTTGGTAAATAAATGTGTTTTTAGCTTTTGATAAAACTGGTGTACCAAAAAAAGAAAAACTATTTGATCATTGTAAACAATTTATTAAATAAAATCACAATAATATACGGAAATAAATAATACTTAACAGTATAAGGCAAATAATTATTTTTATGTGATGTTGCCATTTAAAATGATATCAAAACAAGAGTTTTTACTGTTAACATAAATAAACTTATATTAAAAATGTGTATAAACCTTATAGTAATGGCAAAACAAAGCCATTTTATAATATTAAAAATTTATATGTCCTATTTTTCTATTACATGGTAGAAACATTTAAAAAAACATATTTTGGTGGGTAAGAAAAATAATTAAAATAAGGAATGCTTGGAAACAAAATAGATCAATTATTAAGAAATTCTCTTATTGGAAGATTCTATTTATGAGAATTGTGATTGTCATGTCAAAATTGTCATTGCAGTAAACATATTACTAAACCATAGATTCTAATTAGGAACTGCTGGTTACATTTTACTATAATTGGTTTCTCAGATGGCATTTTGTGACTTAGTTAAATTAAATAATACTTAGTATTTTCTTTTCAATTATTTCTAAACATCATACTTTGTAATAAAATAAATATAAAACATACTGTATAAGACAGATAATCGAAAAACCATAGACAATCATACTTTCATATGTAACGTGACAGTTTTGACAGATGTCAAATTTTACCGCCGTTTCGGAGGCTTGTATTAGCTAAAATTGTTACAGCTGACTGCTATATGTATCCATTATCCACACAATGTACAACATTATTAGCCTCTCTCAGTCTACCCTCTTTGGTTTTAAACGGTCCTATTTGCCAAAAGTCATCTATGTTAAGTTTTTCTTCACCCTGTAATACAAAGAGAGATTATAAAATATCAAACTTCTCAATTTCAAAGTAACAAAGAAAAATATTTTATCAAACTACCGTCATTTCCATATTGACAGCATCTTCGGGTGCTAAAATTATGAAGGGGGTAGATTCAAAACTGAAAGCGAGTCCAAAGTATGAGTACTTCTTTATTTCTGCCATAAAAACGTCATATGAGTAAACTTTATCTGGATCACTGCCCATATCCTTTATCTGTGTTGCCAGAACATTGTAGTAATATTTTAATAATTCGTCATAATGTTTTTCTCTTAATTCCTGACTCGTGCAAGCATATATAAAGAATACCAAATCCAAAACGGGGCTCGCACATCGAGTTAATTGAAAATCGATTATCTTAGCATCGATCGGACGATTATTCTGATATTTAAATAAGAAATTATTTGTCCAAGAATCGCCATGAGATATAACACCGTTAGTTTTGTCTGATACAGCTCTTATCATGTCTCTATAACGTTCAGGGACTGCAAATTCTTTTATTTTATCTACATAAATAGTGTTGGGATATTCTTTTTCAACCGCATCAATAGCAATATTACTGATTCTATACCAAAAACGGCTGTACCAATCCCATAATCGTTCATCATAATATGTTTCGAATATTTCCTTACTTATTCTATCAAAATCTTCAGGTTTCTGGTCTCTCATAGCAATAGACATTGCATGGTATTGTGCTAAACTCTTTACGGTAACCGAACAATGTTCAAAATCAATCCCTTCTTGACGAATAGCACTGCCATAGTTCTCTAATGATGCATCCTCTAAGCAAATAACATCGTTAACGCCATCACAATGTGTGAGAAACAATTTCACACATTTATCAAATGGTTCTTTCATATTTTTGTTAGATTGAAATTCCAATAGAGCTGGTAATACTTTTTCATAGAACATAATTTCGTTTTTGAAAAACTCATGGCTTTTAAATGTTAGTCGTCTACAAACATTCTTCGGAATCGTTTTTAAAACAACTTGTACACATCTTGTGGCGCCCTCTTGTGTTGTACCGTGTATTTTTATTCGTATAACTTCACTCAAATATGAATCCCCTTTGCCGGTATCACTCACATACTGAAATTAATAATAATGTTTAACTTACTAACATAACAGACAATGTTAAAGGTGAACAATTGTTGCAACAATCTATATATCTTACTCAAACACCAGTACGAAAACATTGCTATTGAAGTTTTTTTTAATATAATATAAGGTGGCCAACAAACAAGTGGCCACCTGAATTCACCAATCAAGATTTCTTTTATTATAAAACACACACAAACACTGATGGTTCTGATGAGTCTGTGCACTAGCATTCATCAGTGTCTACACCAAAGGTTGTCACATTAGTTAAATCATGTTTTATAATTAATATAGTATGTCTCATAAAAGTTTTAATAAGTTAGGTTTCATCATATACCTCCCAATGTGTAAATGAAACATCTTCTTTGAACCAGTCGGTCAGAGCTTTCGTAAGTTTATCATTGGTAAGTGCTGGAGATACATGTGTTAATGTTTTAAAGTCTTCAAATGTCATCTGTAATTAAACAAAAGAAACTCAATTTTTTTTAAAAGAAGAAGCAAGCAGAGGGAAATGGAGGTGATCATTGATGCCCATACACAGGCATAGTGTAACAGCAAATGCATTGATGGCATTATCTTATGTGATACAAAGGACTTTGAAGGACCCTAAATATATTTCTATAGTAAATATTGTTGGCAGCTAAGTTCATCCAGAATGAAAAAAAATATAAGTAACCTATGTTCTACATCTGTGCCAAATTTCTTAAGATCTGTTGAGCCTTTCTGGAAATAATGAGTAACAGAAATCCATCCATCAATTTTATGTTTAAATCTAGTGAGAGTGAGCAGATTTATAGCATCAGTAATAAAAACCTGTGGTTTTTTACAAAATCACATCTATACTATATTATTTTTGCTTTTTTACAACACTATTTTGCTTGATCTTCAAAGTAAAGATAATTAAAATGAGTTGAATGAACTACTATTAGAACAATTTGGTTATAGAATATATTTTATATGTAGAATTTATTCATAAACAATAGCTGTGTTTTATCTTATGTCTCCATTTCAATAATTCTCTTTGGAGAAACAGAGATAGCAATATCTTTTTCGTACAGGTAAACATATGAAAATCACAGTTATAAAAAGCGTAAGCAAATATTTATTTAGTTATCAATTGCATTACTTTTAGTGCATTGATAAGTGCTGTAATTAATCTTGTATGTATTTTTTTATCTAAAAAGATAACTCTTCAAACTCTGAATTAATCCTACGAGTAATGGTAGTTGAACAATAAATTTATTTACGTAAATAATATAAGAAAATTAAGGTGAACTTAAACCAATACGAAAATATAATTCTATAATTTTAGTATCAATAAACCATTTACAATAAAAACATACATAAAAAAGATGAATTTATTTCTACATAATTCATAACATAAATGTAAGAATTCTCTTTTTGTACCTTTTTAAATTCCAGGAATCTTGTTTTTGTGTTGATATTTGATATTGTCAACTTCAAATTGTCACTGACGTGGAATGTCACATGTGGCGGAAAAACGTTTGAAAATGATAATAGATCAACTTCGGAAAAACAAAATAGATACTAATTTAAAATTATTGTAATGGTGAAATGCGTATTTTTCTGTTTATGTGGATTTGGAGATACAAAATGAATAAATTAATACTTTACATTTGAAATTTATATGAATATAAATAAACGGACTTCTTTGACGACGGTTGCCTGGCATTCACAAGCCAGTAACTGACATACTTGTACATAAGCTATTGGCACGTACCACCTACAATTTAATGAGTTGAGCGGTGGACTGGCACGTCTAGTCTTACAAGGGTCTTGTGAACTTTTTACCCATAAACTAGAAAGTGTTAAGATTGATGACTACAAACGTATAGGAAGACCGAAAAAAGTATGGATGGATTATGGGAAAGAGACTTAAGAAGGGATTGGATTCATACATGAAAGCATGTATGGAAGAGTTAATGATGATCAACGAAGTTTAATTATTTATTAATCTTGTCCATCTATGCATATTGGTTATATTCGTAAAATTATTTGATGTTACATAATCCTAAAACCACATTCTGAATAGATTATTGTAATTGAGGATGTTAAAATTAATACTTCGAAGTCTATGCGTATCGTTGTGATTGTAAGCGGATTATTGTCGAGGTATTAGTGTGAGGGATTAAATCAATCGCGGGCGATGCTTACAGAATTCATCTAGGTAATAGGATTTAGTAATAATTGGCAACGTTAATGATTTTCAATTCAACGAGCACTCTTGGTTAATCACGCGGTTTGTTAAGCGCTGTTTAATTTTGATATTGTTTGAATCTGTTTATATTAATAGTGGTAGAGCCCGCTTTAACATCTTCACACGAATGGGTGGGCTCACCTGGTGCATCCACGACCACACAGAAGACAGGCGTAAGGTGTAAGGAATTCCGCGTTTCGTCTGATGAGTGTGGTGCCAGAGGCCCAACTTTATTCTCTTTTCTTATGAGAAAAGTATGCATAAAAAAAGGAAAATATGCACTTTATGTGCGTCTCCTCTAAAATTGATCAAGGGTAGGCAACGCATCCGAACGATTGTCTGTGGGCAGCGTTCGGTTTGTCATGTTGGCGGTTTATCAAATGAAGTTAAACGAGACGCTTATACGAAATACTCCATCTATAGTTATATCAACAAATGTCTATAGATTCCTAGACGCATGTCCAACAATGTTTAAGAAAACTTATTACTAGCGCCTTCACCTTGGATCGATTTTATCTTATTATCTTACTAATGTTATACATGCGAATGTTTGGATGTATGTATTTTGTTAGAATTCTCCGCCTAAAAACCTAAACGGATCGCGATGACTTATGGCATAAATGTAGAGTATAATCTGGAATAAGACATAGGCTACGTACGTACGTACGTAATGTCCTCTTTATGTGCGTCTCCTCCTCCGTCATTTAAGGGTAGGTAACGCAGCTGCAATTGCGGATGTTTGTGGGCAGCGGTCGCTTTCCATTTCGGTGGATTTAGGTGGCCGCTTGCTCGTTTGCCACCTTCTATTATAAAAAAAAACTTTTTTTTAATTTAACGCTGACGGAGTCGCAGTCGAAAGCTGGTTGTTAATCAAAATAATTAGTTCATGTAACAACATAATAAATATCGGTCCATTTAATAGGACATAAAATACATTCGTTCGGAAAAAGGGTAATTTATGTGAGAGTTGTACACAAATCATAGTAACGATACGGCTCTAATACCATTTTAGATCATTGGCTCGAATCCAAATTGCTCAGTTCCGTGTAGCGGCCACTTTAGTTAAAATTCAATAGAGAACAACGAAATCTGCGCTAACGGCCGGCGCCTTATTCTGAACTATTTTAAAGACATTAATAAGACAAATCTATCATTTTAAAAAGTAAATTGATAGTCTAAATAACTAGGTATACCTTTAAAATCCTAAGAACGAATGCTTACAATTAGTCTTCCTACTTCGCGCGTAGGACGTACAGAAATTTGTTGATTTTACCTTCTCGTCCTTTCCTTATTGAAATTTGAAGTAGGAGAGGTCTAGATTTTGACCTCTGATACTCTCATCGACATATGGATTTTTTCTAAATTAAATTAGGACTCATTTCAACAATAAATAAATAAATTGTACCAGTTTTATTGCCACCAAAAATCATAGAACTGTACAAAACACTAGCTTTCGCCCGCATCTTCGTCTGTGTGATATTCAAAAATAATTAAAATTTAGCCTACGTTACTCACTGATAACGTAGCCTTTAATGGTGTAAGAATTTTTGAAATTGGCCGAGTGGTTTTTGCGCCTATTCACTACAATCAAACAAAGTTTTCATCTTTACAATATTAGTATAGATAGTACAGATATATGTACAATTCATTCATAATTATAATTTGAATCATTCATTTTTCAATCGTATTTGAAAACAGATAAATGTCAAACATTATCGTTTCATTGACGCAACTGTCTACCATAATATTCCCGCGCCATAAAATCATCAATATTCCGCGGGCAGTTTATGCAAAGCGCGGATGCGGGTTGGCTCCGGTCAAACTTTATCCGGTCGTTGAATATAATTTCTATTGGATCTAGTTGACTTAACCTACGATAATTGCTTATTTATTTATTACTAACTTTCGCCCGCGACTCCATCCGCGTGGAATTAAAAAAAATACAAAAGTGAGCCTATATGTTTTTCCAGACTATCCTCTACATCTATACCAAATTTTATCGAAATCTGTTCAGCCGTTTAGGCTACAAACTCTCACAAACACCGATCCAACCATCTATCCATTTATGGTAAACTTTCGTATTTATAATATTAGTAAGAAGTAAGATTAAAGTATAAAAATTAATTCGTGCCAGGGCGCTTAAACTAGCATGAATAGTCTATACTTATATTATAAAGAGGAAAGATTTGTATTTTTGGATTGTTGTATGCTTTAACATAACTCAAAAACTACTGGACCGATTTTAAAAATTCTTTCACCGTTAGAAAGGTAATTTATCTGTAAGTAATATAGGCTATATTTTTTTTAATTTCACGCGAGCGAAGTCGCAAGCAATACCTAGTAGAATATACTTTTGAATAATTCGTCACGTTAAGTAATATTTTGTTACATGAAAGAGGTACAAGTCATAAAGTTAAGGTCAGAAAGAGATAGCTATAAATAATTAATATTCAATTGACTATTTGTTTGAAGCCAACGTCTTACGAGATAATCTTTCACTCACCCAATCCATTTAGTTTATTTTACGTTAGTTATAACTTTTCTGTAATCGAACTGCGTCGAGGTTTTGTCTTTTAGAAGGTTTTTCTACGTAAAATAAATCGTTAAATGTACTCGTATCTCTCATCTTAGACGTGACTTCGTCCCGACATCGTTGAGCGTCATCTGCTTATCCGATAGACTCCGGCTTGGACGCACTCGTAGAACATAGAAACAATGGAGTCGGTTGCTATTTAATATATCAAAGTATTTTAATGTAATATTAATTGGATTACAGTTGATTATTGTTAAAATTCAACACCCATTGCCTATGTCTAGATTTCATTTATTAAATACTAGCTTTCGCCCGCGACTCTGTCCGCGTGGTATAAGAAAAAAACAAAAGTGAGTAGCCTATGTGTTCTTCAAGACTATCTCTACATCTATACCAAATTTCACCCAAATCCGTTAAGCCGTTTAGGCTACAAACTATAACAAACATCCATCCATCCATCTAAACTTTCGTTTCGTTAGTGTTCACCTCAATGCAAATAAATACCTCGCCAGAAGGGACAGTGAGGCAGGCCAGAGACTCGTAAATTGTAAATTATATCCAAGAAATTAATTAAAAAAAAAATCCCTAGAATCAAATGTGAGATAACTAAAAAGTGACTTGTTCATTAAAAATTATACCACTAGTTGATAAGTAACTTTGGAATAAAAAAACATACAGACGAATTGACTACTTCCTTCTTTTGGGAAATCGGTCTAAAAGGATTTTTACTACAAGCCCCCTTGAACAGTCCCCCCCTTAACAATCGGCTGGCGACGCCCTAATTTGTCATATCGTACTCGTATTACATAATTGTGTTGTTTATATTTATCATATTACTTCACATTTCCTGTGCGCTCGTCGCTTCGAGTGCATGATAGTCGACGATATAACGGAATTCCACTAATAAATGATGCGAAACCGACGCAGCCATGTGTGGTACAAGTCACAAGATTTACTGCAAATATAATTTACAAGCTTTCGCCCGCGACTCCGTCCGCGTGGAATTAAAAAAACAAAAGTGAGTAGCCTATGTGTTCTTCCAGACTATCCACTACATTTATACCAAATTTCATTGAAATCTGTTCAGCCGTTTAGGCTACAAACTCTAACAAACATCCATCCATCCATCCATCCATCTAAACTTTCACATTTATAATATTAGTAAGATTAGTAAGATATAAAACCAACATTATGTACTAGTTCTACGCTATAAATTATGGAATATCTGTCTATATCGCAGTGAACACTTCAAAATAACGCATATTAAAACTAAGTTTTTCATTTTAAAGTGAAAATTTGTGAGTATTGACATATGATTTTATTACAATCGCTGGTATGTAGTACATTCTTTTCAATTATTTTTTCTAAATCAAAATTAAAATTGCACATGTAAAAATTAGTGATTATTTTGACATAGTGGACAACGTCATCTAATCTCAAATTGAAATAACTGTGAATAGTGAGTTTTTTTTATATATTCAGAAATATTTCTGTACGCTTTCGCTTGTGCCTTGAAGTCATGTCTGGTCCTCAATAAGTGGCAGAGGCAGGCTCTCGACAGATACGAACAGCCGTGAACTCCCAGCGCTGTTTACGAATCCGTTTATATGGAGTTCCGATTGCATTCATGAAACGCAAACCATAACTCTTGTGTTCGTTAACGTCCATCTAAAAATCTTATTACTAATATTTTGTTGAATACAGATCGGATGTGGATTGATGCTTGACCGAATTCATAGTTTATAAAAAATAAATGATTCTATATCGTTCCGAAAATCTTTTTATCAAATCCAAAATTGAAAATTTTAAATTTTCGACCAACTTCTTTATAGAAGGAGGTACTCAATTTGTCTCTGTGTTTTATTTTTTAGACAAAATACACGTTTTACCTTTATACAGTTCACTGTAGGTCCACATGATCAAGGCTTACAATTCATCCTAAGCTAGGGTGGACTAGACCATAGTCAACCATGATAGTCTAATGAGGATTGGTTGACTTCATTAATTTATTTACTCTAAAACTACTTGAATTTCTAATGTCAATAATAAAGTAAATCAATAGTGTTAGGAATAAAATTAGTACCGTGCTATAGAATTGGCGCAACTCTAGATTATCGGCATAAACGGCACGTCCCTAGCTGACAGCTGTCAATGTCACTAGAAGTATGGATAGATTGGCGCGTAACTTGAGTCTTGACGAGAAGTATTGCTCTGAGTTAAAAGCGACAGTATCAATTAAATAAGTTGTCTAAAAATAGGAAGTTACTTTTGTATAAGCGGGCGCACACCTTTGACTAATCTATCGCACAACAGTTGTGCGATTGTTTTTTTCTTGCAATTTGATTTGTCAAAGTGCTGTGCGATTTTTTAGTCAAAGGTGTGCTCGCGCTCTTACGGTTAAATTGAAACCAAATTGAAATAATGTAGCGCTTAAACTCCAAATTCTAATAAAACTTTGACATGACAGATTGTAAGCGACGATTACGTAACAAAGTGTTTGACAATCGTTTCAGAATTCGACCGGTAAAGTAGTACCACATTTTATAACTAGTTTCTTCAATTTACTTTAAAACTAAATGAAGCTTAAAACATGTTTAAACTCTCAAAGGAACGCGGTACTCAATTTCCGGCCTATTCCATTAAATATTTCCCAACTAAAGATTCCTCCGAGCACGTACCGCACGAGACTCGTCGGGAAATCTTTCCTGCACAAATTCTGTGCACTCAGAACAGGATATTACAGTTTTATTGTGCTCGATGCGGTGTGCGTGTGTGAGTGTGTGACGTCACACGTTCAAAATATAAAGTACGGGTATTCGAAGAAATTCAATTCGTTGCATTCACTGGAATGAAAACAACTATATTTTTCCATACGGCGTCTTAAATATGGATGTGCTTTACACCGTAGTGTAATCAGTGGTCCTTTATGTTACTTCTTCCTCAGAGTAAGAGTATTGTTAACTGTTTTTTAAAAGTACGTATTTTTATAGCATACTAGTGTATTTTAGGCTTTTTCGTCTCATCTTAAAATTGAGATTCTAAGGGTCATTGTTTCATTTTATTTGCTTTTCCAACGTTACTCAATTTATTTATCTATTACACTGCTTACTGTAAATATTTGCAACGTTTTGTATTAAAATTAAAGGGCTTTTTATATTTTTTTATATCAAAATATAAACAAAAATTTCGATGTTTAAAGTGGTTTATTTAAATAATAATCTGACAATTCTCTAGCATAATGAATAAATATTCGATACGGTGTGACGGACGGCGTACAATTTTACAATCGGCTTAGAAGTTGTAACGGAAACATACGTCTATGGTAGAGTCCGGATGGAGGTATGGAACGGTGTGAGATGATGACGTAATATACCTCTACTATTTGAAATTCTGTCATATTTGTGTAAGGAAGGCAAATCTATTGCCGATATTTCTAAGAATTCATATCTTTAAAGATTAGATTATTCATAGTAAGTGACAAATATTGAAATATAGGAAATTATAGTGAAAATAGTTATAAATAAATATTAACTTTAACATATTTGTGCAGCAAGCGAGATTGCCTTTTGAAGCCATTTTAATTTCGTTAAAATGTTAGTCACTATTTATAAAGATAATAAACTTATTGATGTTTAAAAACCACGTTAAAATCATTTCCTTAACAAATTAAAAAAATACATTCGAATTGAGAACTTTCTTACATAGACGATTAAATATAATTTGAATTTGGAACGTGGAATCAAAAATGTTGTTCGAATTGAGAACTTCTTTTTTTAGACGATTAAAATCAATTGAATTTGGAACATGAAATAAAAAGTGTTGTAACTAATTTAAAATTAGAACAAGATATATATAAGGAGAATTCCAAGAAAACAAAAGACAATCTTGCCACCGGTAACATCGTTTTCTCGTTTTTTTTCGTTTTATCCAATTCCCCATCCAGAGTAAATGTAAGGTGTATACGTCTTATCTATCGGTGGATAAAAATGTCGTTTATTCGCGAGTACATTCATTCTCTTTGCATCTAATAGTTTTAACTCTATGCCGTAAACATTAATATGGTATTCAACTTTATCGAAGTACCCGACGGTGACTTCGAAATCGATTTGTAGTGTTGTGAATTGATAGCAAGCTATGTGTTTAGCTATGCACATCCTTTTTAAATGGATTGTTGGTTCTTCTCCTATTTCTTGGTTGGCTCTGAACACGATGCATGAATACTCGTATCCAGCCAGGATTGTGAACTGTTGACAAAAATATTTGAAGCGTAAGTATGTGGTTATGTTACCGGTTAATTGTAGAATGGAAATACTGTAAATCGAACGATTTGACAAAATCATGTATACTTTAAAATTACTCTTGTTTTATTCAAAAAGCGGAAATGAATTTGTTCTATTTCAACGCTATCTTACCTTTGGGCAAATATAAAGGTGAGTTTTCATTGGTTGACTGCATCTTTATTGGCTACATAAAAACAGCCAATGAAGAGTCACCTTTACAAGTGTCAAAAATAGAAATGTAACCTTTTCTTGAATTCATTCCTTATGAATTCGTATTCTATATTTTTTCGCATAACCAAATTACAACCGATTGATGTACTCAATTGTTCAACATAGTTTTAAAGATAGCTTACGTTATAGTAGGCATTTCGAGGTTTTGCGGTAACCGGTTGTATAGAGGTGTGGTCAGAGAAGATTTCGACTCTCGTTTCTTCTGGATCGCAAGGCCCAAATCTCTGTACTGCTGTTAAACCTGTAACATATTGACCCAACGCTTTGTATAGCATTTGACTTGGCACGTCAGTAACAAGAGTATTCTTGTATCCGACGTGCCAACGTTATATTTCAACTAAAATAAACAATAGAAACAAAATATTCAACTGTCATATATTATAATCTTATCAATATTATAAATGCGAAAGTTTAGATGGATCGATTAACGGACCTTGAGGAAATTTGGCACAAATATAAAACATTGTCTGGAAGAACACAGGCTACTTATTTAGTTTTTAATTCCGCGCGGAGAAAGTCGCGGGCAAAACTAGTAAATTATAGATAAGTTTATATTAAAAGAATGCGACGAAAATTATACTACGAAAAAAAAACAGTTTCACTAGAATTTTTTTTGAAATTCCCAGTTACACGAGTATCTAATCTATGGTAAGCTTTAAAAAAACTAACGTCTTCTCATAACGATGTGGTTTCCAGCCAGTCTGGTGATAGCTGGTCGGCCGATCCTCTGTATGTTGGTGCGCACCCATTGGTGGTACATCCCGTAGTCCAGGAACCTAGAGGGAGACGAACAGCCGGGACCGTAAATACCAAATCCTATCTGAAAAAAAAAATCAGTAACACACATTACCAATATGAATGCCCATCAAAATTAATTCAATCATTCAGTCTTTTATCAGTCGGAGAAAAGAAGATTTATAGCCGGTTTCCCAGCTACATTTTTTTATATCATATAATATGGCAAACGAGCAAGCGGCCACCTGAAAACGCCAGAATTTCGAAGCTACCGCTGCCCATAGACATCCGCAATTGCAGATGCGTTGCCTACCCTTAGCCGACGGAGGAGGAAACGCACATAAAGAGGATATTTCCCCTTCCTATGCATCTCCTCCAATGTCAAATCCACTTCCTCTTCCCAAATTCTCCTTATAAGAAAAGGGTGGTAAAGAGAAAGGGACTGAAATTAGGCGTCAGCTACATCTAACCGTTAGTGTTTTTAGTTAGATAACTTCACTTCATTTAGGTTAACCAAACACTAACGATAGATGGAAACTTTAGAAACCCAGCATTAGTCAGTGCGGAATTAAAAAAAATCTATTAATAACATGGCCTTATTCCTTGGTAATGTAATGTTGAAAGAAAGTTAGAAATCAGCCTGTGAGTTTGAGTTTATAGGTTACATACAAAAATACAATTCTTTCCTCTTTATAATAGTACAGAAGTATAGATAATGTACATAGAAACGTGTAAAGTGATTGTCTTTACCTTTAGAGACATTAGTTATAATTGTCACATTTTAACCTCAAATGTCAACTCAAGGCATAATTTTCGTGGCTAGATTTTTAGTATCGATGTTGAGCTCTTACCAGTCTCCATCTTTTTTCATGTTTGGTAACGAGAAATACACCACTCTGCCAAAGACACTCGCCCCCGCGTTGTGCTTTCGCACACACAGTGTACTTCGGCCAGATACTCTTGACATTTAACTGGAAAAAAAACACACATCCAATTTGAAAATTCATAAGAAAAAAATAATAATTTTTGAAAATGGAATAACAAAAGAAATCAGTCAGATACTAATTACAGTCAAATAAAAGAACTAAAAAATGTAAATCAAATATGAAATTAAATGGCTGAATTTGTAACATACTTCATTAGATTAGACTTTTAAAAGTAAAAATTTGAAGTTTAAAAACAATAGACAAAACATTCTTGATAGAAAAAAGGCTGTATAGTTTGAACCTTTGCCTCTTAAAAAAACTTACACCAGTTCTGCGATAGTATGATTTGCATTCTTTTGTATCGACGTACGACATTTTATAAATTTCTAGTGCTGACGACATGCAATCTGAAAATTAATTACATTTTTACATAACTAATTAATATTAAGAATAATATTCAATAAAGTGCGTAACGGATTTTACATATCTCATGGTAAATGTAACAGATTAAAAATAAAATTACCTTCTGCAAGAGAAACAGCATAGAAATCTGGCTTATTGATCATACTTGGAGGCGCACAGATAGGCCGTAGCTCTGGAAAATATAAACTTAGTTATTTCATTTCACAAAGTCTATTGTTTGCAAAATATGTCAACTTTTTTATTTGGTGACAACGCCATCTAGTTTTTTTTTTGTTTCAATGATATTTACCTACTGTAAAGTCTGGTTGTATTTGAATCAAAACAAGTGAACTGTATGTATTTTTCTGGAAATCCGGATGATAGGAATATTCTACAACACTGTGCTTGGTTCCTTTGCAGTTGGTACCGAGGATTACCTTAGTTCTACTCCTGTGAACAGATTAGATTATGTGAACTTGGTTGATACGTCTGCATTCAATTTTGTAGTCTATGCTCATATGTTCGTCTCTGTTTTTAAAAAGAGAACGTAAGGGACGACAATACATTCAGTGCAGTTTTCGACAATAATATACATTTTCTAACCTGAAATCGACTTTTGGAAGATTTGCTATTTCGATAGCAGCACCGATTACCAATTGTTTCGTAATCAATACTACCGGTGATGATGTTATTAGACCCTCTGTAAATAACCAAAATGAAAGAGTTTTTTTTAATTAATCGGAGGATTAGATTGATTACTAAATTTAATTGTTACTAAAAAGCAAATATAGGATATCAAAGCTTCTCTCTCTTTCCGTTTCATTTCCCTGAAGGTTCCTCTGCGATGTGGATACCATTATGCGGATTGGTAAAGTTGGGTGCATTTTAGTCCAGCGTCCTTTAGGACTTTTCAATAAAATAGCAAAACTCACCTAATGGAAAAACAATAACTCCAAACCATGGGTACGTTTCAATAAAGGAGGCTCCTTCTTGCACTTCTTCCTGTTTAGAGTTGTCTATTCCACAGGTTTCTTCCACAAGTCCAGTTTTATTATCTACATAAAATAATTTGATGTCGATAGTAAAACAAAAAACGGGAATCACAAATGTACAGTTGGTTTATTGCTATGACATAAAAGTAAAATATTGTAAATTTAACTAAAAAAGGATGTCATGTTTTTGAGGTTATATAGTTTAGTTTTTTAGTATTACTCAACCAATAATATTGCTCTGCTCTATGTTCCTATGGTGAAAGAATTTACGAAGTAGTTTTTGAGTTGGATAGTTAAATACAAATCTACAGTCTTTAAACTAATGTTATATGTAAACTTACATTCTGCCCCTAATCCGCTTAATGTTACCACTTCAGTTTCTGAAACCGGAAAATAATTAAACAATATAAACTACTAGCTGTTGCTCGCGACTTTGTCCGCGTGAAATTTCACTTTACACCATATGGTCGTATTTCGCTGGGCGAGCCGACCCATTCGTGCGAAGTTAAAGTAGTCTACCACTGCTAACATGATAAGATCGATGAATGTTGCTTAGAGTTTATAGCCTAAATTTTCATAAATGGAATAGTCTGGAAGAACATAGGCTATTCACTTTTTTTTTTAATTCCACGTAGACGAAGTTTTGGGTGAAGGAATAATGAAATATTATTTACCTGATACTGGAACAAGTTGATATAAAGTAATTAATATAAGAACTAACATTTCCTTACTTAGTTAATCTACATGTACTATTTATCAACATGTACTTGTGTGCTAATTTTTTTTAATTACGGCTTAAGTTTCGCGTTCTGTAAAATCTACATGACAATGAGACGTGAATCTACACATCTTGAAAGCAAAACTTTGTTTGTAAATAAAGAGATGTGTTGGAATTTTGTTGTACAAATTCACTTTCGAAAGAATGAAAATTCATGAATCGTTTATGACAGTTTCGTTAATGGTATGATAGAATTTACTGAACAGATACAACATTGTTGAATTAAAAAGAAATAAGAATGTTTTTTAATTAGCTAATAATGTTTATATCATACTATACTAATATTATAAATGCGAAAGTTTAGATGGATGGATGTTTGTTAGTTTGTAGCCTAAACGCCTGAACGGATTTCGATGAAATTTGGTATACATGTAGAGAATAGTCTGGAAGAACACATAGGCTATTAATTTTTCTTTTTTTAATTCCACGCGGAAGGAGTCGCGAGCGAAAGCTAGCAGTTTAAAAAGGTTTAGTGTTTATATTGATGACTAGCTTTTGCCCGCGACTGCGTCCGTGCAATATTAAGATAAAAAAAGTAGTCTATAATATGCCCGTCTATGTCAGGTACCTTTCTGTGAAAGTCCGGTCCGGCAAAAAAAAATTAAATGCGATTTTCGTTAACAGCAACGTTTTCCTTTTGATATTACAAACAGACATTCTAGTTTTATTATATGTATAGATAGAAACATATAATTTTCTTATGATTACGTTACAAATGTAAAATTATATTTAGAAAAGTTTGTTTGAAATAATATCTTATTTCTACTAAAACTGTACTATGTTAATAGTAAAATTGTGGGACATTATTTACGTCGGAATTACAGATATTTTTTCTTAAGTTTTTATAAGGCTTTAATATAAACTTTGGATGGGTTTTATATATGAAAACGAGTCATTTTTTAAATAATTTTTATTGATAAAAATGTAACGAATAAACTAACAAACTTATAGGTTAAACTGTAGGTTATGTTTTTTAAAATCTCATCTCGTAACTGTTAAAAATGTTAAACCTAAGCCCTTTTAATTTTACTCTCTTACTTCCATATTAGTTACTATTTTATATTTGATAGTATAATATTTGACTACTTATGTTTTTCTCTGTTATTCATCATTGTTCCCATAATATATCTATCCCTGTTTTTTAACAGAGAGTAAACGAGATAGCAATATATTTTCATTTACACACGGTGTTTGCGTATCAATTCATATGTAACCATTGTCCACACAATGTACTACGTTATCCGCAGCTCTTCTTCTATTCTCTTTGCTTTTTATAGGTCCGATATTCCACATTTCATCAATATTTATTTCTCGATTACTCTGAAAATAAATTGTGGTTATAATATACTTAAAAATAGTTAATTTTAAAAGCAAAATTGTGTGCAGTCCGCAGTATTTTTAACTTAACAAAGAGAATTGTTGTTGGTTTGTACTTCCTAACATTTATTTTTTATGACTTATTCCATATATCATACTAGCTTTCGCTCGCAACTCCGTCCGCGTGGAATTAAAAATAACAAAAGTAGTCTATGTATTCTTCCAGAATATCTACATCTATGCCAAATTTTCAGAGATCCGTTCGGCCGTTTAGGCTACAAACTCTAACAAACATCTATACTTTCGCATTTATAATATTAGTAAAACAAATTGAGTTTTTACCTCTATTTCTAAGTCAAAAGCTTCTTCAGGTTCCAAAACTATAAGAGGAGTCATTTCAAAACTGGCAACTAAACCGAAAAAGGAATATCTCTTAACCTCATTCAAAAAAGTTTCTCTAGAGTAAATTCTATCCGGATCACTGCCCATATTTTTAATCTGTGACGACAAAACTTCATAATAACTTCTCAACAATTCATCATAATATTTAACTCTTAATTCCTGACTTGTACTATTATAAATGAAATAACTTAGATCAAGCACAGGACTAGAATATCTAGATAATTGGAAATCTATTATTTTAGTCGTAATATCATTATTATATTTATATAAAAAGTTATTCGTCCAAGGATCGCCATGTGATATAACCGCGTGCTGTTTATCTCGAACTGCACTGATCATTTTAAAATAAGTATCTTTTACAGCAAAACTTTTAATTTTCTTTAAATATATCGAATCTGGATATTCTTTTTCAATCGCATCAATCGCTATTGTACATATTCTATCCCAGAATCTTTTATACCAATCCCACAGTTTGTAATCAAAATACGTCTCTGATATTTCATTGCTTATTTTAGCAAACTTCTCCGGTCGCTGGTCTTTCATTGCAAATGATAATGCGTGGAATTTAGCTAATGTTTTAATAGTTGCTATACAATGTTGCAGATCGATTGTCTGTTGTCGTATAATGTTGCCATAACCTTGGACAGAAACATCTTCCAAACAAATGCAATCGTTCAAACCATCGCAATGTGTGAGAAATAACTTAACGTTATTATTAAATGGTTCTGTTGCGTTTTTTTCTGATTGGAATAATAATAAATTTGGTAGAACGTTTGTATAAAAAGCGATTTCATTTCGAAAGAATTCGTCGCTTCTGAAAGTAAGGCGTCTGCAAATGTTACGTGGTATAGTCTTTAATATCACTTGTACGTTTCTGTCTACCCCGAAGCGGGTTATGCCGTGGATTCTTATCTTTCGTACTTCGCTCAAATAGGAGTCTCCTTTTCCTATTTCGCCTACGTACTGAAAATAAAAACATAAAATCTTACTAATATTGTAAATTCGAAAGTTCAGATGGATGTTTGTTAGAATTTGTAGACTATTTTTGTAGACTAAATTGCTTAACGGATCTCGATGAAATTTGGCAAAGATGTAGAGCTTTTTTTTAATTCCACGCGTCCAAAAGTGTTTTATTTAATTCCACGCGGACGGAGTCGCGGGCGAAATCTAGTTAATTAATAATTAATTAAGTGTGTCATTGTTGTGTTATTTCGAGAAGTGAACGAACTTGCTTGTATGATAACCTCTGTCTCATGTAAAGACTTTTGTATGACTCAAGTGCATTCAAAACTTTTAAATAAACATTAAGTAACAATAAATTAAAGAGTAAAAGGTTAGTATGGTATCAGCATGTTATAAGGCAGTGATTTTCAACCACTGTACCGCCAAATTTTGCATACTTTTGTCATAAACTATTTATGCAAGCTGTTGTAGTAAGTATTTATATCTTTTTCTTTTGTGCCGCCAAATTTTGAAATCGTTAAATATGTGCATAAAAAAAAGGTTTAGAACCACTGTTATAAGGTATGAAACGCGTAACAAGAAGGACGTTAGTTATGAGTGTGGTACACCGGTAGAGGTAGACGTAGAAAGAGATGGATGAATTGCGAGAAAATGACATGATGAAAGGAGAGATGACTGAGTGACTGAATGACTGAATGATATAGTTATTTGAATGACGAAAACCCGGTACGTCCTGCGAGAGTAACATAAGGTAGGCGAGATAGCAATCGATATAGTTAGAATAGTATTTCACTGTACTAAATTAGTTATATACTTGTAAAACATACCTCCCATCTTGTGAATACAACAGTTTCTTTAAACCATTCAGAGAGGGCGCTGTTTAATTTGTCTTCAGTAAGAGCTGGTGACACTTGAGTAAGACTGCTATAATCTTCGTCTGACGACGATGGAGCCATTCTATATACTTATGTTGTCGCAACTGAATTTTAACTGAAAATTAAATTTAAACTGCTTAAGACAGACATCAATTAAAACGAAATATCGGCTACAAAAATTATAACCACGGTCCTGTTGAACCATGACCTTTGAAGTATACAATACTAACTGTTTCTCGTGACTTCGATCGCGTGTAATTAAAAAAATATAGCCTATGTTACTCACTGATAACGTAGCTTTTTAATGGTGAAAGAATTTTTTAAATAGGCCCAGTAACTTTTGACTTATTTTAATACGAGCTGTTGCCCGCGACTTCGTCCGGGTGGTATTAGAAAACATACAAACTATATAAATTAAAAAAAGTTACGTATCCCTCGGGAACCGGACATTTCTCGGGGATGAAGCTTATCCCATGTGTACTCCAGACTTTGTTTTATATCTTTGCCAAATTTCAATAAGATATGTTGAACCGTTGCAGAATGATCGAGTAAACATTAAAAAACTAAATTAATGAATCCCACGGGAACCGTAACTTATCCCGGGATAAAAAGAAGCCTATATGTTCCTTCAGACTCTACTCTAAACCTGTACCAAATTTCATAGAAAGCCGTTCAGCCGTTTAGGCTACAAACGCTAACAAACATCCATCCATCCATCTAAACTTTCGCATTTATAATATTAATAAGATAATAAAGCATAAACACACACTTCTTTGTTGCCTAAGACGTCATCAATTACAGCATATTTTTGAATAATTTTATTTTTAATAAAAGGCCCTACTTACGTTACGCTTTAGACTATATATTTAGGGGGTAAATATTTTGGATAAAAACCCTAATGTGGGAAAAGAACATAAGTTGCTACCAACATCAAGGAAGCAAGGTTGCCATGGTTTGTCATAATGTCATGTCATTTTGACATTTGCCATTGATAATTTGACAAATGTAATAACATAAATTTTTCATAATTTTATGCGGATGAAGTCGCAAGGGAACAGCTAGTCGCTATATAAATAACTATTAATACCAATTAAAAATTAAACAATCATTATTATTAATTATGGGATAAATTGCACAAACCTTGTGAATCGTTCACACGTCGAATGTAAACAAAAGCTAACAAACAAATCAACTCATATCTTATGCACTGCGATATTATCAATGCAATTTGCACCGAGCTATAAAGTGGTGTGCACATTGACGTCATATGTCAAAGGTTAATTATAATAGAATTACATCTTATTATCTTATTATCTTACTGAAATTATAAATGCGAAAGTTTAGATGGATGGATGGATGGATGGATGTTTGTTAGCGTTTGTAGCATAAAGAGATGTAGAGTATAATCTAAAAGAACACATAGACAACTCACTTTGTTTTTTTTAATTTCATGCGGACGAGATCGGGCGAAAGCTAGTGTTGCATAAGATTTGTGAGATTATCACGAATAAATGAAAATATAAAAAGAAAGCAAAAATGACCCGAAATTTCGTCGCGCGATTTTGAGCTAAACTATTTAACTACGTCGTAGTCTTTGACTCCAAAAATCAAACAAAAAAATGGGACCCACCTGCAAGCATTACCTTTCGGATAAAAAATGAATTATCAAAATCGGTCCACTAGCGGCGGAGTTATGCCGTAACACACATAAAAAAAACATACAGGAATTGAGTACCTCCTTCTTTTGGGAAGTCGGTCAAAAATAATAAGAATGTTTCTTCTTTTACAATACTATGGTTAACTACAGAAAGAGCGAAATTTTCTAGTAGCAAATAATGAGCAGTCGGAATATACAGCACCAAAGTGTGTATGTAGCCTTACTTTATTAAGTTTACATCAGTGCAGTGCATACGAACAAAAGGTATTGCTGCGTAAATGGATTCTTATCTTGCATTTGCAATACAATATATATAAGCAAATACGCTATATCCTATTTTTGACCGACTTCCCGAAAGGAGGTACTTAATTCGTCTATATGTTTTTTGTGTGTTATTATTATTATTTTATTTTAAAGAATATGTATGTCAACCACAATATTGACAAGTTTGTGGATATTCTAGTATTCCGAAGTACTTTTTTTTGTTTCCAGGGAGTGCAGATGCCCATCTGAAGAACATGATGTCGCTTGACCCAGAAGATTGTTTATAAGCGCGAGTGCTGCGAGGTGCTTAAATAATGCAGGGTTAAAATAAATTAACTTTCTTAAAAAATCCTATATTTGCAGTTGATTCTGTTCGACGTTGTTTATTTGATAAAATATTATTTGACAAAATCTGGAAAGATTTGAATTTATTATCTGACATTTCGTGTACAACTAATATCAAGATTGGTAGGGATTCAAACCCTCGACCACATGACGGGAAAGCTTAACCCTTAACCACTAGTCGATTGCCGCTTCCTTCAACTGCTATATAAATGACTTTTAAATAGGAAATATTATTACCTCTTTTATACAACGAGCTGCCTGCATACTTCGTTAGCTCAAATTTGGACCATCCGTTACGCCATTTTGATAGCGCGGATTTAAAAAAGTAGCCTATAATATGCCCGTCTATATCAGCTACCGTTCGGTGAAAGTTCAGTCGTAATCGGCCTTGCCGTTTCGGAGATTACTCGCGTTTCGCGGACAGACACACAGACAAAAATTTTTAAATGCAATTTTTCGTTTAAGCAACACAAATACATCATCATCCCTAAATCTGGAATTTTTCTTTTGATATTACAGACACACCAATTTTATTATATGTATAGATAGATTATGTACATTCTTATGTCCTTTATCTGTAGAATATTTATGACATCTTTATTGATAAACACGACCATTTATCATCTTTAAAGGTTAACAAGGTTAGACGTTACGTATGCCTTTAATGGATCTAAAAGATACGTTATTTGTACGATAATATTATCTTTATGTAGTAAAAATATTAAAAGATTATCGAAATAACGTTTTTTTTTATAACATCAGGTGGCAGACGAGCAAGCGGCCACCTGAAACCGCCAAAATGGCGAAGCGACCGCTGCCCATAGACATCCGCAATTGCAGATGCGTCGCCTACCCTTATACAATGAAATGGAGTTAAATTAGGCCTCCGGCTCCACACTCATCAGACGATGTTTCGTCTGATGAGACGGAAACGGAATCGCTTCCATTTGACGCCTGTCTTATGTGTGGTCGTGGTATTACTGGGGTATTGGTATGGTAATTGGTATTACTGCGAGCCCTGCAGTGATAACATGTTAAAGCGGGCACTACCACTGTTAATTAATATTAATAAATATTTATATTAACTTTTCATTTCCGAAAAGCGAAAGAAATAATTTCTTTTAGTCACTTAAAAAATTTAATAGCAATGTTTTGAACAGATGTTTTTACAGAAAAAGGTGATGAACCAATGCTTATTTGGCGGAAACAGTAAAGATATACTTTTAATAAAGATGTTGCCAGCAAAAAAAGGTAAATTTTGTGATCGGCATGCTGCTGGTATCCATTAAAAAACCACTGCCCATAGACATCTAAAATACAAGACGTATAGAAAGAAGATTTTCACCTATTTTTCCGATACTTTAGTAAGAATTTTCACCGGACGGATTGTTACCCTGACAGTCTGAAAGCGGCTTTCATCATCGACTTGCCCTTATCCCTTACGGAGGGTCGGTACAATATGTGCTGCTCTTCCATACATCTCTATCAGCCGTCATATCTGAATCCACTCCCTACTTAAGCATATCCTCTTTCACACAATCCATCCATACTTTCTTCGGTCTTCCTCTACCTTTGAAGACATCCACATTCAATCTTAACACTTTCTGGTGTATGTCCCCATCGTCTCGTCGGAATAATTCAAGTCGGAAAGCGGATTTAAATCCACAAATTCATATTACGTATATGTAGAACATTAAACGTGTCATTATTGGGGTACAATTAGTATACAAGTAGAGGTAATGTATTCTATCAAATATTGTACAGATTTGCCCTTGGCGGTACGAGAAATTTCAATCGCGTTAAACATTCAGTGATATCATTGCTTCTCAAACTTCATATGATGCTTTTTAATTACTTTATTTTCAAATTGATAGAACGTTTTTATTAAACTTAAGGCTGGGAGAAGCAATTCAATGTTGCCTTATTTACATTTTTGGCTATAGACAAAAAAGATATTTAATTCATCATCATCTTTCTCCTTATCGTACTCCCGTAAGGTCGGCGCGACAGGTTTTTGTCCTCCGCATAACTCTATCATACGTCATACTCAGTCATCACTCCCTTTTTGATCATGTCACCTTTCACGCAATCCATCTATCTTTTTCTAGGTCTACCTCTACCGAAGTACTTACTCTTCCACACTCATCCCTCCTCATAACATGCCCATACCTTACAAAAAAGATATTTAGTTATTTTAAATATTTATTCAAGAAAAGAAAGGTCCACTCATAGAACTCTTGGAACAAATGACTAATCGATTTTTATGTACACATGATTCCGAATTTACTCCGACATAAATGGTTAAATTATTTCGTTATATTATTGACTTTATGCAACGCAATGAAGTATTTCGGAGTAGAAAATCCTTTTAGTTTTTTGTTTATTAGAAGGGCGTACACCTTTGACTACACTATCGCACAACTGCGTAGTCTCGCTTAGATTTCTAAGTGCTTATACGGAGGTGCGCACACTACTCGATTTTTAGTTGTGCAACTAAATGGGCTGCGAAACAATCGACAATCGCAAAACTATTATGTGATAGTTTAGACAAAGGTGTGCGCCTGCTAAACCGAGTTTAACTTGATTTTAAGTTTGAGAATCTCTGACTGTGGTCATAGCACCGAGTCGTGACCGCCGCGCGTCCTTTACGACGACCTGTTTGAATATTGATACCATTGAAAACTCGTTGCAATGACTTCATATCCAAGAGCATTTTGTTTATATTCGTATAATCATTACTTATGTTATATATATAGTTTTAATTGCGATAATCATGAAACAGATTTTCATACCTTTTTGTTGTAGATATGCATGTTTGCTATAAACTTATGTCAGGCGCAATTATCCAACCAGTTTTGGAGATGTTAAAATTGGATAATATTATTTAGGAAATAATCCGGTTGGCTAATACATAACGATCATTATCAACATATTATTTCATGATTTATATTGTGTTTTAAAGTATTTCATAATTCGCCTATGATACAATTAAAGTAATAAGAGCCGTAGTAAACGAGCGATGGGCTGCGCAGCTTACGTGCAACTGCATGGGGAATCCCCGAACGCCCACTGTTTTACAGTGTATAAGTTAACAGTATAACCAATACGAGGGAAATTATATTTACTATCAATTTCTAAGAGACAATTAATACAAGTGGCACAAACGTTTTCTCTATTAATATCGAAATGTATAAAGTTCTTAAAATTGATTCAAGAATTGAATTGATACAAAAATAAATAATGTTCAAAATGTTATTAATCCTACTGCATTTTCGGTACTGTAACATATTAGATTGCGTCACTTGTACTAACCAATCGGTGATTTAACAATCATTTTTAATGAAAAAACCCATTAAAAACTATAAAAAAATATTTTTCTATAATTCTATATAAACTTTAATGCATGTCAAAGAGATTGGCGTAATTAATTTTAGGAGATGACCCTTCAATCATGAGTTATAGAGTAAAGTTCTGAATCGCGCTATTGAAGTTTTTTAAAACTTAACATATATACGACCACTGAATATTAGTACTCGGGCTTCCTATGGGGCTCTTCATCGACTGACACGTCGGTCGCAGCCTGTCTTCACGGACAGCGTCTGTTGTGTTCCGGACACTATTTCTCATAGTCTCTAGATAATTCAAAATCTAGTTACATTTCACAACTACCCCATCACTATACCATGATAAACAGATCTGATCTCCTTAATGGGCGAGTTTGGTGTCCGTGACGCCAACCAGACCGCCGTTGTAAGCGGGTTACAATGTAGACCGGCGATGACCCACAGTGGGGGAAAATCCCCTCTAGTTGGGACGTGGGAGAGGTCCGATGTTGGGGAGCTTGTCATAAACCCTTAGCAGGGGCGAGTGTCACTTCCTACTGAGATTTGCTCACACGTTTGGCAGAGGAAGAGGCCTATAGGAGGTACCCGTCGCAACGACAG